AGTCGAATCGTTACAAGAAGAATTGTACCGTTTTTTAAAGTTCAACAATTCCAATATTAATATGTTAAATGATTATATCAGAATAAAAAAATTCTTTATTGAATATGATATGGCACTTCCGAGTAGTGCATCCGTCGAACGAATGTTCAACGTCGGTAGTTCCGTAGTAACGCCACAGAGAGGGAATCTTAATGATAATACAATTGAATATCAAATTCTCTTAAAAATTAATAAAAATTTTTACATTTTGGATAAACTAAAGATTTCTTAGTTCAGTCGATTGTTTAATAAAGTACTTTCATTCTCAATGTGTTTTCAATTTGTTCTCTCTCTAAATTTTTAAATTTATTTTTTTGTTCTTTAAATTTGTGTTTAAAATGTAAAAAATTTTTTATTCTGATACATGCTCATATTTAAACGCGCGTTACATTTCTTTTTTGAATAAAATTATATAATATGTACATGTAAACCAGTTTTTTTATAATGCTAATGTTGTTCTATTAAAATAACTAAAGAGTAACGATTCGTTACTTTTTGAGTAACTGTAACTGTAACATGTTACTTTTCGGAGTCGGTAACTTGTAACGATAACTAGTTACTTTTTGAGAAACAGAAACTGTAACTGTAACTAGTTACTTTTACAAAGTAACTTTCCCAATTTTGCTAAAGGAATATCTAACTTATACTGTAAACTGGAATCGTTGAATGGAACATCAGATCACTCGCCAGTGATGATTACAATAAGTATGACACTTATTAACAGAGAAAACAAAGATTCCCTTTATAATAAAAAAAATGGGCCTTTATAGAAAGACTATATAGATTCAAACATTAACCTAAGAATTCCATTCAAATGCCGCTGAAGACATTAAAAATGTCCACTAAATACATAACGAATCTAATACAAATAGCGGCCTGGAAATCCATTCCGGCCACAAAAACGCCTGCACGAGAAAACTACAACTTTGCAGTTCGCGAATCGTGTCCTCGAGACCAGTAGGCACTGTCGGCAGTCGTCAAAAAGTCGTTAGTTCATGCTCATCGCACGTTTCGCTCCATTGCGTTCAATTTCGAGAATAAGTACAGGCAGTATCAAGGGCAGAGGAACACGGTTATTTTTACAAATTGGCTTGATTCAGTCTGAAGTGAGAATTCGAGTCTAATGGACAAAGAAAATCGAGAGATAAAAAAAATGTTGAAAAAAAGGGTCTCTCAATGAGACCCGTTATAAATAATTCAGATAAAGTCAAAGATAAAGTTAGAGAAAAGAGAAGACTGCATCGGCAGTGCCAATATAACAGGTACCCTAGCGGTAAGATAGTTTTTAACAGAACTACTAAAGAACTGAAGGCTCTTATTTATGAGTTTAAAAACGAAACTTTCCAATACTTCCTGGAGAACCCATCAGTTACAGAAAAGGATGATTACTCACTTTAGAAGATAACTAAACACCTTAAGAGACCACAACCTCCATACCTCCAATAAAAAAGGAGAATGGATCTTGGACTAAAACTGACAAGAAAAAGGCCGACGAATATATAAACTTCTTAACATGTTTTCAACCAAATCCTACAACAAATTACAACAAAGATGAAATTGACGAATTTTTGACAGACTCTCCTTAAATTGAAACTTCCATAAATCCAACTATTCCAAAGAAAGTCACAAGAATGATTGAGGAACTTAAAATTAAAAAAGCACTAGACTACGATCTAATTTCATTAGCTCCTAAAAAGGAACCAGCGCCAAAAAAAGGAGTAACTTATCTGATAATGCTTTTTAATGCTATAATAAGAATAGTTTACTTTTCTGATCAATGGAAGGTCGCAACAATAATAATATGGTCCAAAGCCAGGTAAGCTTCCTAACGACATCAAGTCATATTGTCCAATTAGCCTGTTACCAGTCATATCTAAACTATTCGAAAATATTTTTATCAAGCTAAAGCCAATTCTCACTAAGGAGAACATAATACTGAATCATTAGTTTGAATTCAGGACTAAACCCTCGACTGTGAAACAGGTGCACAGGGCTTGTATTCTGTACACGCTTACCGACAAATGTCGTTAATGGCATCGATAGATATCGTTAAAAGCTATTCTGTTCACCCATGGTGAACGTCGCTAACTAACGATGTTCGTGAACGATAATCATTGTTATTTGTAACGAGATCGCTCCCATACATGACGATAGCATTTAACCAACATATTTTTTGACGATCCTAAAAGGTTAAGATTCGCCGATCCATACGTAGTAAGTTCGGTTTGACGATTCGGCCGCGTGAGACGGACGTGTTCCATTTCGATCTGAAGTATTGCATTTTTAACTTAGACGAAATCTAAGCGAAATCTGAGGCGAGCGTGTTACACACTTTAAGTTTACCTCGTAACACAAAAAAAATTCGTATAACAATTAATTATCAAGTTAAATATCATCAATTAAATCATGTAAAAGGTAAGTTTGTTTCAAATATTTAATTACTGAATGTAAATTAATGTAGGAAAATATCTTTTATCTGAGCTTAATATAGTCGGCCAAATGCAATGTCAAATTTAAGGTTGAAATTTCGCAGCAAAATGCCTCGGCATATGTACGTTGCTCGTTTTTTTTGTGTGTAGTATCTAGGTTACGTTTCGTTTCACACATGATGCGTATGATGTATCATGAATATCCTTGTTGTTCGTCAAATATTAAACAAAGATAAAAGAATAAATTATGCGCATCATGCGTGAAACGGAACGCAGCAGTAATCTTACATTTAGCTACGAAATTTCAACCTTAAATTTCACATTCGAAAAAGTATAGTTATGTTTACTTGCTCAACTAAAACTGAAAGGACATATTCCAAAAATATCTTTTTTGTTGTGTTATTTACACATCGATCTATCACTTATTGTAATTTCATATTTTTTACTTTTGAACAACATTATAAAGAATGACTGACGAGTTTCTTGCATGGGAACTTATTAACTTAGAGCACAGAGCAGAGCAATTGGAACATCGCGTACAGAGGAGACAGTGGCGAAATAACCACGATCCTTTAGATTTAACTGATGATAAGTTTATAAAATTGTACAGAGTGAGCCCAGACACTGTAACAGAATTAAAAGATGTTTTGGGACCACGATTACAACGTCAATGTCCATCATATGGTCTCAGCGTAGAACATCAGACACAAATTATTTCGTATATTTATTATTCAAAATAGTATGATTTATTTAATCATAACTATTAATTAATTTAGTTATAAGTAAATAAAATATTCTATTCTTTTATGTGTAATATTACATACAAAATTGTGTAAGATTATTATTAGATATATTAATATTAGATATTATACGTATTTACTCATAATATGTATAATGTACATAGTATTATATATACTGTGACGTTGCAGCCCGCTGCAACGGAGCAGCGTCCCGCCGTCATCACAAGGCGCGGGTTCGCGCCCTTTTTGCCGGGCCGATAGCTGCGTTATCGCGAGCGAGATCGAGATCTTCGGGACGTCCGAAATTAACTTGCGTATTTGATATTGATTAGTTTGAACCTCTTGCATGTAATACGGCGCCTCACGGTGAGGCCCTTACCGGACGCAAGGAGCATCGACGGCGAGGATTCAAGGCCACCGGCAGAGGAGAGGACTTGGAGTACAAGCGATTCGGCGCAGGAGCCAAGGGGGCACGCATCGGGCACGCGGCGATCAGGCGACGGAGCGCGCACACGCTGAGCGCGTGACCACGCGCAAGGATTTAAGAGAGCCGCCAGGGGCGCGGCGAGGAAAGCTGGCGCAGGAGCTGAGGCCCGCGAAGGGCGATACGAAGGGCCGGCGATTTCCCCAGAGCCCGGATCGAAGGGCGAAGGGCGCGCCCACCAGATGCCACACCGCCACATCCAGGAAATAGGGCGGCCTCGCGAGGACGCGAGGCGCCCGTGTGAAAATTCGCCCAATACGCCCGTGCCACAGCAGGACCCCCGCGGCGCGCCGTAATTGGTCGCAACTGTATGCGCCGCTATGTCGTGCATCCCCGGGCTGGGGGTGCAGGCATCGATCGCGTATCGAACGCGATCTACGCTTTTGCGTGCGAGCGGTGACTGCGAGCGAAGGATCGAGCGAGCGAGCGATAGAGCAAGCAAGATAGAGAGACAGAGAGGACAAGAGGTTGCCGGCCCGGAGAGTTGCCAAGGACGTCGAGAAGGAGATCGTGCCGGTGAGGTGACCCTCTGTTTCCAAGCGCTGTAAAGCCACGAGTTGATCGAGGACCTCAATCGCACTCTGTGGACGGAAGCGCCATTTTGGTGTTGCAGTCTCGTCCTCAAGTGCGAGGGTTCTTGCAGGATTTTGCCGTGGACTACCGAAAGTGTCGTGTGTTGCGTATCGAGCCGCCCGGAGATCGTACCCGTGAATGTGCCGCAAAGCCTTCGTGCACTAATGCGCGCGTTTAGTGTAAGTGCGTGTGTCCGCGAGTTCGCGAGTACCTAGCGTCTTCGCGTACTTCCATCGTGCGTGTGATTTCGTTGCGCATCGACGCGAGTAATTCATTGTTCGTTTTTTTTTGTTTCCGTACGTTTGTCCGTCTTGCGAGCCTACTACCGAGGCTACGCATCGCGTTCGTTCTTGACTGTTATCGGTACCCGCGTCGTACCGAGATAGATTCTTCTACCATATTCAAATGCCGTATTGTTTCGATCGCGTTTTCGTCTACCGGTCCGATTTTATGTAATTTAGATTAGACGGAGTTTAGATTAAGTTGTGCGTCACGCTATTTCTGGTTACCGTTCCATGCGTGCGCATGCGCCCGTTAACCACACCGGTGCACGGGTCATCTTATTCCTCTACAACCGAGGTATCGGATTGGAAACTCATGATTGTTAATGCGTTTTCTTTTGCCGGAACTCATTTTTTTCGATAATTTACTAGATTATTTTCGGTCGCATATCGCCAAGGCTATTCTCTTCTTGATTTTCTTTTTTTTTTGTTAATTATCTTTTCTTGAACATTTGATATTGCCGTACAAAGCGTCTATTAAATTGTTCTCTTATTTTACATTTGGGGTACGCATTCTTTCGCCCGCTCACCACCATCCCGTCGAAAATCACATAACTCGCCCTTAGTTTTCGCCCTGCCCCTCTGCCGTTAGGTAGAGCCGGCCGGCCCCCGCGCGATCGACCTCGGGAGGAGCATTCGTTTTTAGATTTTGCGTTTTGTCGAGTGCCAATGCATTTGTCGCCTTATCGCGCTAGCTTGGAGTTTCGCGAGTGACGTTGCCACCAGCATGTCTAGCGCCCAACTCTCGCGTCGCGACTCCTCGTCGATCGCCGGCGGGACAGAATCCGAGGGCTAACTCCTTCCCTCTCGAAATCGCCCACGATTTCCTGCTTCGGTTTTTGATCCGCGTTCGCGCGAGCCTCAAAA